CTGGATCGTTTTCATTTATTTTGTAACCTCACTGTCCTGTATTGTCAGATGAACAGTGTCAGTTGCAGAGAAATACTCTGATTGCACCATCTTTAGATTATGAGCTATAGGACTAAGGCCAGCATTGGGTGCTTAGGAGCTGAGTAACCTGCCAAGCTGTGAGTCAGAGTGAAACCGAGATAAAATGTTTTGATGAAAATCTGATCAAGCAAAAAAAAAAAAAAAAAAAAAAAAAAGAAAAAAAAATTCTCATCTCAGACAGAAGTACTGGGAAAAAAAATTCATATAATCTTTTGATGTCAACTTTGAGGATCATTTATAAACCAGTGTTTTAAATAAATATTTTGTGATGTTGTTGCTTTACTCTAAACCAAATCTTGTTCATGTCTCAAGAATACCACAAAATTATTTGAGCCCCTAAGATTAGGCCACTGAGTGTTTTTTTTATGACTTAACTGGAAGACAAAATACACATTCATTCATTCAATACTCTAATTCCATGTTGTTGGCCAGATATAGGACAACTAAAAAGTAATAGGCCTGATTTTTGTCATTATTACCCTTAATTTCATCAGTAAAATCCCATTGAAATTAAATAAATCTCTTTAACAAGAGACTATATGGTCAAGACTGGCAGAACACAGAGTTTACATAACATTCACAACTAAACAAAACATAAAGCTAAAGCAAAAAAAGTGATTACTGCCTGAAGGGTAGAATTAAGTATCCGCAAGTGGCCTGTATAAAGTTTGATGTTAAACCTGATTGTGGTGCTGTGGCATGACCTTAAAAAGGCTATTCATTTTCAATAACATCCAATGTGACTGAATTAAAACAGTTCTGCAAGTTTCTCTTTGCAGAACTTTCTCCCCAGAGCTATAAGGTTGTTGTTGTTTTTTTTTTTTTTTTTTTTTTTTTTTAAGTTTTGTTGCCTTTGTGGTCTTTATTTAACAGTTATCAGACAGGAAAGAGGCTTGTGAGAGACAAGGTCAAATGTCATCAGGTCGGGCCTCAAACCTGTGACTGCCGCGATGAGGATTTACACCTCAACATCAACAGTGCTGCACCTTAGGACAGGTTGCTTAACTATGGTTTTTGTTAAATCAATGAATGCATTATTGAAAAACAATGCATTTTATGCTTTGCTTGAGTTTAAAATTTGTTTCATAATCTGAAACATTGGAAAAAAAGTAGCAAAAAAAGAAATTTGTATGTGAGATTTAATAATGGATTTATCCTTGGCATTGTCTTATTCCTGTGACTGAAAGGTAATTTACTGAAAATTAATTTCTACACTCATTTAATTGATTGCAGTGCCACCCCCACCCGTTGCTGCACGCTGCTGGACAGCTGTTTGACAGTAGGCAACCGCATTTCTCCATCCATACAATAGAGACAAACTCTTCTGATTGTGAAAAATACTGACAGCCACTTTGTGGAAATCATCTATCTCAAAGAAACGAGGTATTATACCTGTAGTTGACAAGCTTCAAGCAGAATTTTATTTAGCAGCTGACTGTAGGCTCACTACCTGAGCAGATTGCCTGACTAAATAAACACCTAATAAATTTAACATCCACAAACACTATTAGCTTTTTAATTATTTGGACCACAGCAACCCACAAATAGTTCAAATCCACAAATACTTGAGACTCATCTAAAAAGACTTTCAAATGTTTATTTAAATAGTTCAAACACCAAATACACCCTAATGGGCATTTATACTCACAGTGGAGACTGTCTTTGCACTGCCGCAGAAGTTTACGTGTGCAGTCTGTCTTATCTCCGCTATTGTAGGTAGAGCTTATTAGCACCAAGGAAAATAAGTGGCACTTCTTGTCTGGCTGCTTTGCAAACATAAGTGAACTGTGTGTCAAGCAGCATTGCGCCAAAGTATTTCAGCTTCCCAAGCTGCATTTTCTTTCAAATATTTTAAATAAAATCCACAAATAGGCACATTTTCCACTGAAAAATTGGAGTTCGATTTCACAGAAGGATTCACAAATAAGTGAATCCATGAATATTGAGCCACAAGAAATATGAGGCTTGTGTATCAGCCAGTCCTACTGATGGAATGGAATAATTAGCTAAAATATTCCAGATAAAGTTCTAATTTACTGAAAAGGAAAAAGGAGATTTCATTTTCACTTTTAATCATGAATTTATTTTTTCGCTTATGTCATAGTGAAGTTGTTACCAAACATTTTTTCTTCTTCAATCCACATTCTGCTGCTACCAGAACAAATAGTTTCGGTCCTCCTGCCAACTGCATCTTGCAAATCTCAACAATATATTAATCCACAAAATCTGATCACTTTCTAATGCTTTGGCCCTTTAACAGGCATGTACATCTCATTTAGATCGTTGACTGGAGGTGACAAAATCCTGGGCTTAAGGAGAATTAAGACTTAAGGACTCTAACGCTCATAAGCCCACCAGAGCCACTGTTTGTACTTTTGACCTACAGTTATTTAGAGTTGTAGACCAATTGGACTCTAGGCTGTAAAACTAAAATGAAAACCAGGATTGCTTGCCAATATGCACAGACACAAACCGCAGCCTCAAAGCTCAACAGTGAAACAATGAAACCTTGAGTGGTAACAAGACGTTTGCTCTTAAATATCAAGTCCATCACTCTGAAGGAGACTCGATTGTTTGAGTCTTTACCCAGATCTTGGCCACAAGCGCTCAAGAATGATTGGTTGCATTTAGGCAAACACCAGGTGAGTCTACACCAGCAGTAACTCTACACTTCCTCTAACCTTCAGGTGGCAAAACACAGCTCTCATGAAACACTGCTTCACCACAGCCCGACTTAAACTCTACCTTCGACCAGAACCATGGCACTGGCCAACGGGCTTATTTGTACCATTTACCTAAGTGGTTATGCATTGATGTCTGGCAATCTGAGACTCAAGACAAGTTGTACTCAAGCAAAGTAATAAGGTCCAACTGCGGGTCATAAAATCAGGGACTGAAGACACGTCAACTAGAGAAGACAAACACTTCATAGCCCACAAGCATGCACCGTTCAATTCCCATTTCCTTCTTGCTCCTCTGTATTTTTGTTCTCTCTAATTACCCCTCCAATCTAACGCTCTCTCTTTCTCTTCCATCTTCTCGCCCTTTCCAGAAGGTCCTTCCGTAAACCCCAGAGAGAGGGGGAGGAGCCCGGGATGGCGAGGACGCGCTGGTAATCCGTGCAGTGACCCAGGTCAATTCAATTATCCTGTTTTCTTTCACTGCGCGACGTGTGTGCCCATTTCACAGCCAACTCCCTTAATGCGCCCAGGATTAGCTTCTCTTACTTTTAATAATCTACCTATTGACGCCTTGGGCCCACAACATGCACACAGACGCACAAACACCCACAGGTAACTTTATCATGTATAAGTTTTGGAGAAGAAGAACTCACTAAACAGTTCTGCAAGGTCTTGGATAAAAAAAAAATAATAATCTCAATATAAATATCCATTCACCATTGTGTTTGTGTACACATTTTCTTGTCTGTGTAAGTGGGAGTGTGGCTTAAATAAACTGCAGTAAAGAAAGGATTGTATCATTCAGCTGCATTTACACAGGCTTCACCTCACACCTTCAAGATCTGAGATAATCATCTTAGGCCTGACACGTTAGTGTATAATCTCGCTAATCACAATGCCGGAGGAGAGAAAAAAGAAAAGAGGTCAATTTCTACAAACTGTGCAAAGATGATTTTTCTGTGGGTTTCTGATGCAGCACTGCAGGATGCAGATAGTATCACACACACGAGTTCAGCTGAAGCCAGCCGTTGACCAGTTGGTTAAACAGTCTTACAGATAAATTAGATTTTGCCACAGTTAGGTGTTGAGACAACAGTTTCACCCAATTATCTACCCTAATCTTATAAACTCACCAGACTGTCGGCAATTACATTCAATGAAAACAAACTTATAGCCCACAAGATGAAAAAAAATAAATACATTTAAAAAAATGTAAAATTGTAGCACCGCCTCCTCGAAGTCATCAAACCAGCGGCCCACATCCGGAGATAAAAAGCTTTTCTTTTGACCTTCATTCATCCTTTCAAGTCTTTTCCGCTCAATGTTGAGACCTTTAACTGTTAATCTGAACAACGATTAGCCACTAAACACCTGGTTTGTTTTGCCTATTGCTTAAATACCTTTTCTAAAAATAGAAAGATGCTCCACTCCAGCTAATTCTCGGAAGTCGGATTTTGTAATAAACCTATGTAACTGTCTCGGCTGCAGGTTGGAAAAGCAGGACTTCCTAATGACCAAACAACCTGTTATCAACACAAGCTATCAAAATGTGTGTGTTCAAACATAGAAATTCACCAGTAAAATGTATGTGACTGATTTAATTTATGCACCAAAATTGCACCATTTTGAGGTTGGCCTGCCAATCACACACTCAAAAATATCATTTTTTTCTCATCAGTGAAGGCACCATGTATGTTGGAATAACAACACTCTGCAGTGTGGAACCTGAAGTTGAAGATTTAAAGTGGAAATTTTCGGTGTTGCCGGATGTCACATGAACAGAAAACCTGCAAAAAGATATTTTAGATGAAAAAAGTTACACTGGGACATGGTACTTTTGTCAAATTGGCGAAGGAACTAACTGACCTCTTGTATTTCGTATTTGACTAGACATGGTTGGAAAGCAATAACATTTTATTTTGACTATTTATTTGTTAATGTTTTGTAAAGAGAATTTGAAATCAGCTAAAATCAGTACCAGTAAGCCAGAGCGTAAACCCAAGACTGGAAGTCAGTCACAAGTCTCACAAGCTGAAGGAAGTGGGAAGAGTTTATGTCGGCTTTGACCACAAACCAACTATACTGGATTTTAAGAAAAAAGTAAAGAAACCTCTGATTTTCTAAGGTGGAGCTCTGATTTCAGTGTCATTTAAATTGCATTTTCAACCTGTAACTTAAAAAATATTTCATTACAACATTACAATGCACACTGAACATTGTAGGAAGGGCTGGTCTTACCTGGAATGTCCTGGCCGTTGTAGTTCCAAGCAGTGACAGCTAGCATGGAGGGCAGAGGAGATCCAGGCCTACTGTCCCTCTCTCTTTCCCGGTCCCGCTGCCGATCCCAGGTTCTTTCAGACTGCTGGGTGATATGTCTGACTGTGTCCTTGTTCTTCCGGTTCTTCCTCCGACCGGACCCTGATAGGGGCTGCCAGGGCCCTTCAGCACCTCCACCACTAGTTCCCCCTGCCCCTTGTTCTACTTGGCTTTGGGTTGACCCCTTGGGAGTGTCCCTTGGATGAGAAGAGGAGGCAGGGGAAACCTGTTCTTCTTTGACATTGACCGGCCTATAGTCATGAGGCCAGGCGGGTTGAGAGTCATGGCATACTTCCTCCTGGCTCTCATGGCTCTTAGGGGGTTCTTGGTCCTCCTTCCCATACGTGCTGCCTCCCTCATGGCAACTAGCAATGGCTGAATCTCCGGAGGAGTTGGCTGGACTAGTTCGGCGTGCCAGCCAGGGAGAGGTGCTGCGACCAGAAATGATGGACGCCAAAGCTTCAGAGGCTATACCTACTATCCCACCCCCTCTCCCCAAACTAGCTCCTGGAACACCCCCTGCTCCAGCTAGACCGACCCCTCCTCCATTCCCAACTACACCACTTCCTCCTCCTAAACCTGCAGCAACAGCTCCCATTTCAAAGTCAGCCAGCTCATCGGCCATCTCTGAGCGGATGCTGATGTCAAGAGCGGCCTTGATGAAGCTGTGGCAGGCCTGGACGATGTCCGTCATCTGCAGGTAACTGGCGGCCGACATGACCTCAATCACATTCTTACTGGTAAGGGCAAGGTGTGCTGAGTACATGAAATCCAAGATGGCTTTGAAGCCGGTCGCCGTCACGATGTCGAGGTGTGTAACAGTAGTCTGATGGGGAGGCTCGGCTCCTTTCTTAACCTGCAGGATGTAAAACAAACCCCTTTACTTTTTATTGTAATGAGAAAGTGATGGAAAAATAAACATGTACTCCCCCTGAATTGTTTTATGAAATGCAGTCCCTCACCTGGCAGTAAAGAGTCTTGAAGTAGCGTGAGGAGCCCAGAAGGACGTTCTTATGGGCCTTGAAGATCTTTCCGTCCACGATGACACAGGCATCACAAAGGATGCCATGCTGCCTCTGCTCATTGAGCTCTCTGAGGAGCTGACGGTAGTGAGATGAGATCTCCATGTCCTCCTTCCTGTTGTTCATCTGTGTAGCTGAACAAAAGCCTCTCCTCAAAACATCTGTGTGGAGATAAAAGAAGACATACAAACAATAAGCAAAGGATCTGGTGTGCCTCAAAATCAAAAGTGTACGTCAGCAGAAATGTATAGCAAGGAGGAAAATCGATCTAAGACTTTTAGGGCATTTATCGAGAAAGAAAGATCTGTTTTATACATTTCTTCAAAATATGCATCAAAATCAATAAAATATAAGTGCTGGACTGATATTAATTGATATTTTGGTACTTATACAAATTCATACAGTGTTCACACATACGGTGCTGATGACACCCCCCACTAACACTACTTCTTTCAGTAGTTTGTATCCATTTTTAGCAGATTTGTAGGTGACAAGAAGGTGAGTTCTGGGTCACGGGTCATTCTTCCATGTTCTATTCACGGCTTTATGTCACAGAGATAAAAACACCAACTGCTAAAGTAAAAAAATGTTAGGTTCAGTCAACATCTGTACCAGCAAATATAAATGTGGATGCCACAGCAGCACAATATGTTGAACTGCAATCATCATTCCCTCACCAATGTTTGCAATATGACTTTTTTCATGCACTATTTGGTGGAGTATTATATTTCAAATGAAATGCATACAAATTTGGGATACTAGTGATATGTTTAGTCTGTTGGTCAGACCTACTGATTTTATTACCCACGCCTAATTTGCATTTTTTGTGTTTGGATGTAAAGATATTTAAATTCAGTACATTCGTATAGTTTATAGTTTTAGGCAGAGCCTAAATGGTTTTGTTTTTATGCAAAATAAGAGGAGAAAAATAATTTAACTGAGGTAGTCTCTAAAGATGAGAATATGTGAGCAATGACTGTGACATAAAAACAAAGACATCAATAGAAACCACATCTCCACTACTTGAGTTTGATGTCTAAAAAAAGCCTGAGATCGAATAATCAAATATCTCTGTTTATGAAGTGCTTCTGACAGGTTTGCGTGTGTGTGTGTGTGTGGGGGGGGTTGCGTGTGTGTGCGTGTGCAAGAGAGAGTGTGCCTCAAAATACACTCATTAGAAATGCCAGTTAAAAAGTGAAGCATACGTGCAAAAGCATTTCCGAGGAAAAAGTGAGATGTTTTGCACAGAATGCATTACAATTAATCTCACCAATAAAAAAAATGATCTAAGTTGTTTCTTTAATCTCATTTCGACACAAAACCTGCCCTGTGCACTCCTGAACCTTCACATTAGTGCTTCTGTTGTCCAACACTTCAATGTTGGACAAGAGACCCTTTGTGTCCTTGCTTCAGTCTGAGCAATGAAAACAAATGCTTTATGCCTGGAAAAAGAGGAAACCCACCCTTAACGATTTAGGCCCTTAATTTGCAGGGGTGCTGAATGGTCAGAGAACAGATGATGAAGAAAAAATGGCAGGACAGAAAAACACACTGATAAAAGACTGCAAAAAGGAGACAAAGAAACATGTGAACATCACCATGTCAACCCATGCAGAAGGTGGCAGAAAAGTACGTAAATCCCAGCAAAGGCAAACCTGCACCCACATTCACAGAGGTGACAACAGACACACACTCACGCACACACATCAAGGTAGTGCATTAGCTGGAGCATTAGCAGCCGCCGCTCCCGCTCTTGTCTCAGCGAGGGCTAAATCGCGCGGACGCAGGGTGTTACCAAACGCAGCAGTGATTTGTTTTGGGAACGCTACAGCTGTCAGCTCTCATGGGCCGTTCTGAGAGATGACAGCTCGGGCTGGCCAAGGTGACAGCAGCGTTTGCTCGGGGGCCGGCGCACTTCAGGTCATGTTTAGCAAAGCTCTGCTCAACCTGATGGCTTGTAAGATCAGATAAATCCACATTGTCTCCCACGTCCACTTGGACAAACACACCTCCTATGAACAGCAGTGGACATGCCGACCGAGCGATTGTGACAGCAGCTGAAGCCTTCTCTATCAATGCATGAAACCTTTTTGCTTTGATTGGTGATTCTTGAAGTTATAGAGAGACAAAAAAGCGACAGAAAGAAAAAGGAAAGTTGGATGTGAGCACAGAAAAACAGTGGCCCTGAGAGACTTAAAAGGCAGGTTTTGACACAAACATTTTTTTTTTGTATCCTAGGGCTCACATATTTCTTTGGAAAAGAAATCAGGCTAACCTTGAGATATTCTTTCTTTTCTGTATTGCTCTGACAGAGGTATTGAGAGTCTTCACCTTTCACCTTTGGAGACAAACCGAGAGGCTTTAAAGAGACTGTGCTTGTGCTTGTCCTCTCTCAGGGCCACTTGTGCATTCAACTGCAAAGCCTGCTGTATATGTGAGCTACATTAAACACAAAAGAAATCACTTATTCAAAAGAAGTCACTGATCCACACAGACATATTCCTCCTTTTTTCTTTTTTTTTTTTTTCTGGTCAAAATGAATGGTGTAGCCAAAGGTCAGTGTGCATCATAGAGGATTATGCATCTGGACTAATCATTTAGGTCCACCCACCTGGCCTTTTCTCAGAATTACTCTTAAAATCTCAAATCAATAGTGGAAAATTCTTAAACAAAGGAAGCAAGGGCTAATCATAGCTAGATGAAAATGTTTTTAAAGGAACTCAAGTATTCTGTGAACCAGGTAACAAAAAGAGTATCAGGAGAGAAATTAATTTATAAAATCCTTGTCTCCACACAAACACTGCCATTTCAGTTAACTGAATTTAATCTGAAGCCTCCAAAAGCGGCAAAAGATTTCTATGAAAGAATTTATCTGAGGTAATCAGTGTTACAGTGTGTGTTAATATGAAAATTTTTCTTTTTCATTGACAATGGTAACATCAATGTTCAAGGTTTTGATAGGTTAGTAGGGGGAAAAAGACATTTGAAGAGTTTAATTCTGACATTGGAAAAGTCAGTATTCTTTTTATGCAATTTTTTTATTTCACATTTATAAGCAAATGTTACAAATATCTTTTCGCAAAAAACTTTCTTTCGGAAAATAATAAGCCAGTCCAGGCTTAGAAAGCTGTTTTATAAGATGTAATGTTAAAATGTGTACCCTTTTACCCTTTATGATTTACAGTACTGCCATATTTCCTGTTTTTGTCTGAAATGATTAATGGAAAGTGAAAACATCCACCTGCAGCACACAGTAACCGAAAGGGTGATGGTTTTTGTCATTTTGGGGGACTTTGACTTGTCTTTTTGTTTTGTTATAACAGCAGCCACACATAGTATTCTATACAAATCTTTGCTTTTCACTTTGTGACATTGGTTCAAACATATATGGTGTCCTGTATCATGTGCATCTGCTTCAGCTCACCTGAATCAATAATTAGCATGACTACTTGGAATTTGACAGCATGCTGAGTAGCTCAGTGAGGTGTGTTGGACTACGGATTAATCTAATAGTAAAGGGGAACTGGAGATTGAAACCTCTTATTTAAACCAATAAGGGAGCACAACCAGGCCTTTACCAGAAGAAACTTTTTCTTAAATACTACCTTTAGTAGAGATGGTAATACAGATTTTTCAAGGAGCAGACAAATACTTCAGTCAATGATCCAATGTTACGTTTGTGTGAATTTGTGCACCCATGTTCAGTGGTGCCTCAAATTTCATAAAAGCAGGAATCGGCAGAGGCCAACACAACAGCAGGGACCTGAGAGAGAAAGCCAAGGAGATTTAATCAGATTTATTGCTTCAGCAGACCTGGAGCCAGACTGAATTAGAAGTTGGGTTGAGAAGCGGAGCTTTAATGGGGCATGCTTTGACCTCTAAACTCTTTGCTTCCCTAATTGGCTCGTTTAATTTCAGCATATGCAATTCCCTACAGTCAGAAACCCCTTTTGCGGAGAGACCCATCCCAAGTTCCCCCCATTATATGATACATAAACACCCATCCAGTAAGTTCTACTTTTCAAAGACTTCATCTTAACCCATGAGCTACAGAACCAAAGCCTGCACCTTTCACTTGTACAGCCTTGATTCAAAGCGCATGTTTTTGTGGAAATATACACTTGACACAAGATGGAAAAGCAAGGTGAAATGAACTTGTCAAACATAATCAACTATGGAGAGGGAGAGAGAGGCAGAGATATTTATGTCTAAAGCATTAGCAGTCTCACCAAGGTTGCAGAAACTAAAGCCTGCTTTCAGCATGTCACACACCACAAAAAAGCTTTTCATCCCTCTATGAAATCTTAGCACTATCAAAAAAATAGTGAGGAGGAAGTCATCGGGAGGCAAGCTGACAGTCTGCGGTGCTTATCTGTGGTCCAAAATGACTGTTTTAGTACAGAATGCCACCAGAGTTTCCTAACCCTTGAGATACCAAATCAAAAGTGACCGCCCTTCTTTAACTCCTCCTTTTCCAAATACAGAGAAGTGAGATGATATTCTCCCTCAAACAGGCACACAGAGTCCTCACCTACAAACACACAAACACAAGCTCCAGCTAAAAACATCCACATTTGCACGCTTAACAGAGCCGTCATGGCATCACTAGCTGTTTGTCCTGGTCACATCACGGCAAAGTCACTTTAGGCCCCGGACACAGAGACAGCTAAAGAGATGAGACGTGTGATGGAGCGAGAGAATGGGGCTCCATCCTTCCTGCGTTTCCTTTTAATGCAGCCTGTCCCTCCGAGCCACTTCTCTGCCTCCTTGACCGCACAGGACCGAGGGGAGACGGAGCACAAGGTCCTTCTGGATCAAATACGAAGCAGTACTTTGTTTGATAGGAAAGCTTTTGGAGTCGTGTAAACCTAAGCTTTCAGAAGATGATCTCACACTGTGCTCGTTGTTAATGTCACAGCACTCAAGCCTCTTTTAGATGGGATTTTAAATAAATTTGGCAATGAAAACTTACTTAAGGCATAGTGATTCTTCTGTATGTGTTAACCAAGTCTGTATTAATCAATAGGTACAAAGTTTAATTTCTCATTTCCAAGGAGTTAGTAGGTAGTCAGTATTCAAGCCTTTTTGCTTAATTGCTTAATTTTACTGAAAAAATAATATTTTTGAAGCCTATGTCAAAAAAGGCCTAAATTAAAAATTA